TTAAAAGTTATATGTAATCAATTTCCAAACTCTTGTCCAACAACATCCCGTTTACCCCGGATGCTACCAAAATATCCCCAATCGGGACAAAATCCCAAGAGAATTCAAGACCGCACACATCGTAAACTGTAACACTGCGTTTACTGCTGAACAGGTCTGGGTGAATGAACTAATCCAGTTTGGCTAAAAGCAGTACGTTGTCGCGAGACGGGGCTGTTTAATGAATGTCATTAACGGGTATAAACAGCGATGAAGCAACGATCAGGTGTTATTTTACACGTACGTGGACACACACACGCACTAACACACACAAACACGCATAATTTGTCTGAATCTGTACAACGGGCCGTAAACACACATACACACCATACTTGTACTATACTTGTGTGGACGTGGGTTTTTAACCAAACTATGTGGACATCAAGGCACCAGGTTCTTTCTAAGCTCAAATTGAAGATGAATGTAAGAACACTGCTTGTTCATTGGTCTAAATGTAGTAAAAAACAATTACGATAACTGCATTAAACTCTCAGTTATGGACATACTTCAGCTATACTCACTAAACATTTAATTACATAAATTGTAAAAATCTTGCTGTCGGATGATAAAGAGAATCTAATTAATTTAACGACACGCTTATTCTGTTGCACGATTCTGCTAACATAAATAAAACGTACTTGAAAACAAGACTAACGTTGAAAAATACATTTACTCTGTAATCCTCTCCTATGAATTATTATCATTTAGAAATCCGTGCCCAACTCTGTACGCATTGATTTAATAACAGTGCTTGAGTATGAGTGTAAATAGGGCGAGTAGAGTGAGTAGTAGAAGTGGATTATTGACTAACAGGTTATAAATATTCAAACAGCTGGCCTTGCAAGACAAATTACAGGGGATCAGAAATATTCTGCACATAGAAGTTTGATTGCTTCTCTTCCTAGCATGGATAAGGACTTTATATTAGTTAAATGATAGATGTAACCTTTGGAATTATTTACGTTTGGAATCTAGTCTAAATGAAATGTGGATTGCATATTAATTATTCATTTTCTGTTCATATAAAATTGAGTGCCTACACGCATAAGCTCAAAAATTGTATTTCCATTTACAGAAACCATGTATTGGATTTTGCAGATCCCTAAACAAACCTAAAGTATAGAGAGTTGCGGAAAAAAATTGAATAAGTGTATAAAACAGGGGGGAAAATCAATGTTACGTGATATTTATATTGAAATTGTATACTTTAAAACCATTTCTTCAAATCCAAACACCCTAAAAAATTTCACGCTATTAATACTTTACTCGAAATCTACGGATTTCCGACTCAACTAACATCACAATCATAATTTCAAATCTTAGCGAATCCACGAAATGAACTATTTCTCTCGTATTGAGGCGGTTTCTTAACTAAGATAAGATTAGAAAGGTGTGAACTTAATTAGGGTAGCAGGTATAATAGAGGAAGAAAGCGCGCTCGATATATCTGAATAACTGTACAGGGGTATTTCTGTCGACTTCGACTGACTAAGTATTTGAAACAGCGATGTCAGAGAAATCACAACTGCTACAAGTACGCGAAGTTTAATGAAAGTACACGGTCTATCGTATTCGTGTTTGGCAAGAAACGAATTACTATGCCCAAACGTGTGGTCCTAAATGAACACAAGGTCCATTCATATTGTTTGGGTGAAATATTGTTTGAGAATTTATTAGGTTCTTTAGAACATACTGAAGGAAAGAAATTTTAAGTCAAACCTATCGAATACACCGGTAATTAAAAAAAATAACTTCGATGATAGACTATGACATTAAGACTTGAACTCTTTTTAGTTACGTCAAGAATACCACATTATACCAGGATTGCTATTCATGGTTATCAATTCTTACACTATTAAATACAGGTTGAGTCTTCTTACTGCTCAGCTAGATATTCGAAGGAAATACCAAGAGTTAATAACGTGTTAGGAAACAATATGTTAAAACATGCGAACATATTAAACAATTTCATCAGAAAAGCTCCCATATTTCGCCAAACTCTCAATGCCCCGCGGAGGTTATCAAAATGAAGTTTAACAAAATAACATTTTGCTGTTTAGAAGGCTAAACTTTGTTAAATCATCTCATATGCACATTTTACATCATAATTTGTTTAGGGGATCGTATTTTATTAGAGTTTTGGGGATTTTATTTTACCTCATTCTGAGAAAGTATCTGAATTTACTCTTAATAAATTGCAATATATTTTATCTTCAAATACTTTTAAAAACTGAGAAGAAAGTGTGATGGGGTGGAAGGTCTGGCAAATAAATAAGGATAAATAGCGAAAACTATATATCTTATTGGATGGGGCCGTTGCTCAATAGTTAAAATTCCTTGCGAACCTGTTGTGTGTTAAATAGCGTCGTAAACCAAATAACGGTCAAGTTGAGAGTGGAGTGTTCAGATGTCGTTCTAAAGATGTTAAAGCATCGTTGAGAGCAGTCCTTAATTCACAACTAGCTTTAGAATAACCGTTGTCAAAGCTGTTGTATATATATTATAGATTAATTTATGTCTCAGTTTAAGTATTGATTAAAATTGATAATGATTAGTGTTAACTTAATGGAGGTTCCTAAATGGGCTTGTATAAATTTACTGCACTTTCCTGCAAATTAATTAAGTTAGGTTAGGTTAAAAAGTATTTAGCACAATTCTTATTCATTTTGAGCCAATGTAAAATACGTGTCTACTAATTAAATTGTGTGGAAAAGCGTGAGGTCTCAAAATTAAGTAGACAATAATGTTTTATCTTGGAGCTCAATAGATAAAGAAATTAATAACTGGTGGAAATTAATAATGCAAGAACTGTAATTAACTAAATTAGCCGTAAAGGAGTTTTGGTTTGATTTAAGTGCGTTGGATAGCATTATTTTCATGTTGTGTCAGTAAAATTGCGTAGGCCTATGTTGTTTAGGAAAATGCTGTATTCATGGATATAACTCAAGGAATTCTCGTCAACTCTATTGCTCAGGAAAATCACATCATAGGTACACTCAGTAAAGTTCAAAATATCGCAGTACAGTAATAGTTACTGTCTAAATTGGAACTTAGGCAAGAACTGGAGGAGTAATAATTAATGACAGGCTGAATGTTGCGAAAAAGCCAAGAGAAGCACCAACGAGGGAATGTTGCGAGATTTGTTTGTCGTCGCTAATGAAGTAAACAACATAACATCATCGACTACTCTTGCACATCAACACAGATATGTCAATATTAGACAAAGCAGCACATCTTACACTAACTATGAAAATGTATATTCCTTTGTTAAGGTAAACCTAAGCACTGTATATATGTTTACCAGTTGGTTGTATTTTTGTTATTTTTATTAGAGCGACATACATTGATCCTATCTACTTTTCAAGAGAAGAAAAAGTGAGGTTATGTTAATTAGGATAGATTTTAATAACTCAAAATACACTTCGTAACGGCAAAACCATAGTGAGTGGGATAATGTATTACTGTTCTTTGGCGGTTTGTGATTGTGTCAATAAAATCATGCTTGATGCCAATTTCACATAAATAAAAAATGAATGGAAATTGGACAAGTATATACCCTGTAACAAAGAAATTTGTATATAAACCCAACGTAACCGGGCATGAAACAGACATAACAAATGCTCCAAATTTTAAAATATGATGAGTACTGTATCCAAAGTCAATGTCACAACTGTACATATTGTAACTACTTCTTGTTATTGTTTATAGACCCCTCAATTGTTTTCAAATTTGTTTAATTAAAGCAAAGTCCCGTGTATAAACCAGAAAGAGGTAACCTTTAAATTGTCTTGAGGTGATTCACAAGAAAGATAAATATCCATGAAACGTCTATTCTAAAATATTATAGTCTCCAAAAGTCAATAGATTGAATTTATACTCTATACCTGTCATCATGATTTCTGACCCACCACACAACTTTCATAATTATGTAAGTTAATTTTTTACATAGTAAGTTACATGCAATTCACCAACTACAAGTTCCACTTTTACCTTACAGTATTTATCTTAATAGTGGATATTATAATTGCGTGCGCTGGCAATGCGACTGTCCGCGCACGCAATACAAGTTGCGCAGTCCGGCGCGGGGAGGCGCAGCCGCAGCCGATCCAAAAATTATCAGTAAATGCAAATTAGTCCTGACGGAATTATACGCTTCGGCACGCTCGAATCTGAGGAATAACGGAGGCTGCAACTGGTCATCTAACTGATAGACATTCCAATCGGAGACAAGGTTGTGACAATTTGGATTTTGTTCTTTAGGAATAATTTTGTACTCTCAAATAATAATATCAAACGTTACGCGCCATAACAGGGCTCAAGCTCAAAGCTAAACATTTATTTATGCAACTGTCTATTAAAATATTTACGTTGTTATTTTTTATATATAGAACCTTTTCTTTAAGAATATCTTAAGTCGTCTTAAGTAATATTTTCAAACAGTATATCGTAAACACGTTTTAAGGTTATCAATCGAATGTTGAGAAATTAAAGGAATTATTATATCAATGCCTTTGACTTGTTTTAAGGCCAACGCAGTGTACTTTTGATCAAGATTCGAATGTCGTTTGAAATATTTACTAAACAATTCAAGCAAAAACTGTTGTAAAGTTAAAATTATTTATTAACAATTATTATTTATTTAAAATTATTTAAGAATGAAATTCCGTTCAGCTTTTATTCAAACGGGGTTATTTTTTAAATGTATTGTATTTTCCTTTTAAATATTCAACTGTAAATTGAACATTCAACAAAATATAAAGGCACATTTTTTGAATGTGGACTTGGCCATCCTTAGTTGCCAGTGATTAATATATATCAATTCATTATCCATCGTTTAATCCTTCCTCCACCAGTCTTCGCATTAAAATACGTGCAGTAGTAAAACTACCCCTTCTTGATTTTAGCTCAGTTCAATCATAAACAACCCCAACACACTATTCACTACAGTTGCAAATGCCTACCTTCAACTAGTGACGTCAGCAATGTAACATTTGCAGCTTTTCTTCTCCCCGCAGGCAGGTTGAGGCCGATCTTCTCTAGCTTTTCCCTCAGCAGCCGTCCGCCATTTTTCGATTTCGCTCTGAAATAAAGGAACAAAATATTGAATATTTGAAGCGATGTGTTCAAGGATCCATTATAATTAGACGTTCGAATGTGCGCATAAATAAATGAATTTTGACAAAAATTGCTCTTGATAAGTTTTGGTTGTGGCAAGTCGAAAAGGAACGCGACCTTCGGGGTTTATCAGCCTGGCAGGTGTATTGTGATAGAAATCTCAGAAATAATTAATCAATTTAAAAAGAATGACAAGGGCCCAAAACTAATTTAATCGCATAAAATATTGTTTAGTCTCGATCAAGAAACGTTTATCGATCTCATTAGTCAGGTTGAATTATGGGAATATGCATGACTTTTGAAGATTACATTGTTTTATCACCGATTATAAAAAGTTCGTTAATTGTTAATAAAGTAGTTTCCACAGTATAAAATTCGAGTGGTTTAGAATATATAGGGACGGTTTCTTCTTTACATTGTCTATATCTTTCTTATGGAAACCTAAAGGTAGTAAAGTCTTGCAGCCTACAGTTTTGATCTGAATAAATATGTCATTTATGCCCACAATAAAGCAATAAACACTTGTATGTAAACTTATGTGACGAGTACATCATTAGCGATTCTCAAATTACACGCATGATACTTAGAAAGAACATTAACCTTTTCCAATTAAAACTAAACACGGTCGTTTGGAGGGTGTATTCACGCTGGAACGCGGGAGTCAAATGACCTGATTATTGTAAGCTGGTGTAATGGTAGCAGAGCGGGAGCGAGAAGGTGAAATCTCGCGGGCAATTATAGAAACAAGGAGTAACCGGCACGTTCCGCGGGTAACTGCCGCGTTTTGGCGCCAAAAGTCACGCGCCTCCCCGACATTGGTGATTATACTCGATCGTCTTACAAATTAAAAACAGCGCGAGCAAATGATTTTGAAACTAGTACAATTTAGTCATGAAGGGTCCCTGCTCAGAAATGAATCTTTAATGACGTGTTTTTGTTAAATTGTTTTAAGAAAACTGTTTAGAAACATTTGTTAATATTTGAATTCTACTTTTTTATTTAGTACTTATTTTAGTATTCTAACAAATACTGCAATATTTTTGTAAAAGGGTTAATGGCCTTTGGTTCTACCAATTCATCGGGCTTGTTAAGCATAAACCACAGTTTATAAATTCCGAACTATGTCTTATGTAGATTTGAATGATATCCAACTTGACCATGTACCTCTCATTGACAGTGTCGAAACTTACTTATTAGGTATACATAATTTTAATATATTGTTATAAAGAGTCAAAGATGACGTAATATGTTATTTATCCTTAATTGTATGATCTGCGAAGTAAGGCCATATTGCTGGAATAATTTTAAATGTATCGCATTAGTTTTGCGAGTAAATAGGTATTTAAAAAGGGTTCTCAATGTGCCTAACATTACAAGTCTTCCCGAACGTAAGGTACAACCGGATCCACATCATGTACTGTAGTTATGTTTGGACATTCTTTGATGTACTTCAATAAAATGTAGGCTACATCAACTCTAGTAAAAAACACAACCGGCGTAGAAAAAATGAAATTATATATCAACATCAGAAAGACAATAATTCGTATAACTAATCAGCGCTAAGGTAAGGATCAATTAGTATTTATGGTACAAAAATGAATAATAACCGTTGTACTCGCAGTAATAAATACTATCAATTTGTCATCAAACCCATAGCTATTCAGATACCTTTTACAATAGTCAAAATGTCAAAACCATCACCAATATACTAAATTTTGAAAAGGCGAGCAGAGCGGCGATCGGTCGGTAGTTAGCGAGTTCATTTTTCTCGCAAGCCGCACCGTGTAGTTTGATAGACCACAAACCCGATGTGTGCTCTGAGGTGAAGTATGATTGGTTCGTGACGGACCAAAGGTTACTCGCAACATATGCAACGGATCAAACGAGACTGGTTGTCTTCACGTCTTTGTCTCGTTGAAAACGAGGGGTGATCGATAAAACTCTCCCCGTACAGTTGCGAAAGTATGTCCTTAACGTGATATTCCTCATTGGGAGGACACGTTTTGATTGTAATGTTCATTTTTAATGATACTGAAATCAATATATGGTTCGACATCCTAGATAATTAAAGAATAAGCATTTTCCAAATTACAAACCTCCTGAGGACTCCGCCGAGGAGGGAGGCGTTGAGACACTCGGGAGGTGACAACCTCCTCTGGACTTCGCCCACCGTGACCTTGTACTTGGAGGTGGAGGAGAGCAGCGAGAGCCTTCCTGGGACGCTGCAGAACACGTCCGACGGCGAAGACACCCCTGGAACAACAAGATTTTTTGTTAAGGATGAAATGAAGACTAGATAGTATTACAAAACTACTTAATTTCTACTTTGTGAATCTCCAAAGTCCAAGTGTTCACGGCAGATTCACAGGATCTTCATCTTCGGGAGATGGTCGAGTTTTTAATGAGATTTTCCGTATTATACTATTCGTTTTTGGGAGATGACCAACTTGATGAACTAACTAGATAGTTAGTTTTGTGGATGAAGTAAAAAAAAATGATGATCATCAATTACATTATTTCTACGAGGCGAATCTCCTACATCGTAATTTCCAGAGTAAACTAAACTATCTTCGTCTTCGGAAATTGACCGGTGTGTTTGATTTGAGATTTGTTCTGTAGATGAAATGAAAGAGATAGCGATTAGTAATTATCATGTATATACAAATAGTTAGTTTTCCAGGCTAGATTTTTCGGGGTGAATTATTATGAAACCACTTGTACTTTCGGCATCTAGAAGACATGTTGTTAAATCCGCTGGTGAAACTGTTGTCGTTAAAGAAAAGAGGAGGCATTTTTTCAAGTTAATGATATAATTTGGATCTGTATGGGGGAATTCAAACTCGAGATTTTTAGAATAATTTTACTACATTCGGCTTCAAAGGATGAAAGAGAAGTTAGATATGCAATACTAATTCCCACCCGAAGTCTAAGATAGAGAAGTGCAATTGTAATCTGGATTTGGTTTGTTGACACTCTTAAAGTTTGTATTGCGTTTTAAGGAGAGCTTTCTTCAGAGGCAATTCCTTAGTTTCATTACTCTGCACGACACATGCAAACAGATAGAATCTTTCAACAATGCTCTGGTGGATGCAGATAGACTACCAAACATTTTTAGTCCAACTTGCAAACCGGTAAAACGTATTTTCACTAAATAACAGCTATTTCCAAAACACTAATTTAGCTACAACGGGATGTTCCAAATTTGGCAATTTTGAAAAGCGTTCGCAAATCGGTCGAAGTAGAGCGCGTTGTAATCGCAATCATAATGAGGCGATTAGTAGTAATGCGAACTGACGGAGTACGCATCTTGCTGCACAAGGGCGTCCGTAATGGCGGCCAGTAATTCTAATTACTTAATGATAGGTTGGGAAACTGGAGGTATGTTTCCCTCGATAGTTTCATTAGTCCACAAGTGTCAGAATGTCTTCATAATATCCCGTTACCTGTGCTACAATTGTCTACTTAGTAAAACGGGTATTAAACGCCGTGTCCTTGATTGCACTACACGCAAATCGTTCATGGATGTTTTTAAATTATTAAAAGTAATAGCGGTAAATAAATGAATGTGAAGTGATTTTTAGGGTGGGTGGGAAAAAATAAAGTTCACGCAAACCAAGGAGCTCGTTGTCCTTCTTCGGACCTAAGAATGTAGAGCTGAAACCCCGTGGTCTCTCGTCCCATCGTCTACCATCTGATCTCTTACGACACTTATATTGGTATATCCCAGTCTTCGGGTGGCAACCGTGTAAATAGTTTCGGACGCAATGTAGCTGTATATTATCCAAGGAACAGTCACAGGACCCAGCTGTTCCTGAGCATTGTGCTTTCAATAAAAATGTTCCTGGCAGATAAAACAGTAGTGAGTGACAAAGTAACGTAGATAATCTCACACTTCATTCTACACTCATGCTTCACTCATATATGAGTACTTAGGATAAGAATACGCAACTAGGTGGCGTCCCCATCTGTTGATTATAATGATACTGTAATAATGAGTGATAGTAATGAATAAACTTAAAATCTATCGGTTACAGAAACATATGAAATATTAATACTGAATTCCTTGTGATATACTACAAATATAAACATCTAGACCTTCTAATTGAATTTTCTGTAATAAAAGTATGTCTAGACCAAGATGAATCTAGACTTGAAAGGAAAGTAGATCACTCCACGTCAATCAATAGGTTTGAAAGGATATCAAAATGAAAAATGTTTGGCCCAATCAATATCAAGGGGTGATGGGGGACCTTATCACAAAAGTAGAGCAGGAATTTGAGGGGATACAGAAGGGGTGGGCGAAGCTATTGTGTTATATCAGAAATACAACTTGCTAGTGAGAATGTTATTTGGTATAAAACTGTCGACATGTTTTAGAGTATCAAAGTTGGTAAATTAAATACATAAACGTGTTCTTCCAAACAAACATTTAGCCTGTGGTAAGTAATTGTGCCTACTTTTTAAAAAGTAAAAAAAATAATATTCCAAAGGTAACAACTAAGCTGCAACGTAAAAATAGAAAATAGTTAATCCTAGGGTAAAATAGTTTATGACAGACCAAATTTAGATTAGGGAGATATCGATAGTAGCAAATTGTCGGAGTGAAGTTGTTTTATCATTCCGAATAATTAAATTCCATATTTTGTCGATCACTATAATCACTAAAAATAATTAGTAACCTAACAGTAGCAGTTTTCGTTATTTTTTGCATTACAGACTCTGAATCAAGATCCCTAAACTACAAAGTGTGCTGTGTCAAAATTATATTTCCTCCTTTAGTTTGAACATGATAGATTATGTAACATAAGATGCAGTGTACCCATACTCAAAGGAATGGCGTAGTCGTAGTCAACCTAACTTTTCCAAAACATCATCAACTTCTAACCCACATTACCTTACCCTAAATAACGTACAGGTATTGACAACTTCCAAACACCTCGCAAACCGTGGACAATGCCTAGCAAAACCTCCAAGGCGAGGTCCGCCCCTAAACACAGTTCGGCTAATTTTACCCCCCCCCCTGGGGTACGTTGTCATGCTAATGCTACGCCGGCTGTACCCCGGGACCAACGATGACTTTATGACGGAATAATACACTACGGCCCTCCTCTAGCACTCGTGCGTACTGGGAAAATATAAAAAATGAAATTAGGGTGGATTTGTACATATTCGAACACATGAGGATACTTTTGTAGTATGAAACGGAATATTGTACACATAAATTTGATTGCCGTAGATGACCACATGAGTGTGATTCTTTGACAACATACAAGAGTGATAAATTTGAACACTTCACATAGTTTTTATACAATTTTGTGGCTTTAAGCTTTAAAAATCGAAGGTTGATGTAAAACATATGGATGGTCTGTTAGAGGATTGATTTGCATAAGGTAAATTTAAATGTTAAAGAGCTCTATTAAACCATACAGGATTACTTCCTCTCTAAATTCTGGAACTAATTGTGCGGAGCGAGCGAAACTCTTATAATACACTCCTGCTTTTTGTTTTACAAAAGCTCCTCCCGAACGGGTCAAAAGATCAGCACGAAATTTAGCGTTCTTATAGTAAACCAGCCTGCTATGGGAAGGTATAAATCTGAAACGGTACAAATCGGACTTCTGGGCTTTCCTGCGTTAATTTAAACTTTAAGATATATAACAAGGGCCTTAAGGAAAAATTGGTTTCCATGACAGTGAAGCAAGGTACTGTAACAATAAAAGGGTAAACAAAGGCGTCGTAACATATGTTTATTAGAAGAAGCAATTTACACAAGTACACTACAGATACAAAACAAAAGGAAAGAACAATCGGATTAATAACGTTTAACATAATATGACAAAAAGATATCACATTTTAGATACTGTAAGTACAGTAGACACCTAATTCACGTGAACAACATTAAGCGCTGACTTTGGATACTGCAAGTAGACAATAAACATCCCATTGACGTAAAACAGATGTACCACTGACTTTGGCTACTGCTAGTGGACGTCCCTTTTATGTGATTCCAAGCCCATTCGGAACGATCAGGTCGTAGATAGATTTCTCAAAAGTATTGGATGAATAAGCTTGCTCCGCTCAATATTGCAAGCAGTGGACTGCGTTGTAAACCTAGTTACACTCTTGTTGAGTGTATTATTTATTACTCTAGATTGCAGCTAGACCTACGTGGATTTTGGAAAAGCCGATCGTGCTTTATTGACGCTAGATAAAACCTAGACTTCTCATCCTTTGTAAAATTTGAAGCTTTTTTTCATGTCTAGTTCATGTTGGTGACACTGGGCGCTAGTGTCGACAACATTTTGTGAATTTCAGGCTATTATATGATTTGTTCTTTACTGATTGGTTTATATAATATGGGGACAAGATATTGTTTGAGATTAGATAATTTTATCTGGCTAAACGAGGTTTTGCATAACTCAAATAACAAGAAACAAATTGTAAACAAAAACACGATCCTAGCGGCACCAGACGGAACTAACAATAAAATTGACTTCAGCTAGTCCATAAGGATGACATATCTTGGTATCATCTATGTATGCTTAATCTATTATAGAACAATGATATAACTAAATCAGATATATTTGCTTCACTGTTGGATGGAATATATTTTAAAATTCTACAGTTTCTTAGGACGACCTCTCCAACAATTTCTTATGAATATTATGAAGATAAAGGAATTTATGAGGCAAGCAAACAGTTGTTCCGTTAATTTTGTAACTATTCAAAGTTTATGAGTTTTGCCTACTTACTGTATCGCTAAAGGTATAAATAATACAAGACAATACTGTAATACTTTAGAATGCGGACTACTCGTTTGCACTATGAAACGGCAAGGGTTCTCTGGGTACAACGTTATATTTAATTTGTACAACCCTTAGTGTGGGATTATAGAATAAATAAAGTTAACCGCATTGTTTAGTATATGGTAGGAATATTGGTTTACCTGTGTAGGAGGGGATCGTTTTATAACGTAAAGAAGGCAAGCTATGATTACGGTAGGAGTTTAGGATACTAGTATACTGCAAAAAAGTACGATTAACGTTTTTAGAACTATCTAGAGAGTTAGCGTTTATTTCCATAAATAAAATTATTCACAACAATATACGTGAATAGATAAATAAAACTAACCATCGACATTGCTATTTATACAAACTTATAAATATAAGCAAATTATTTTACATGTCCTACTCTTTGTCGCAGTTATCATAAGTGGATACGTAAACCAAGAAAAATATAAATCATTTCCTTATTTCACACCCAAAATACAATTGAAAGAAATTAATTTTTGAAACGTTTCGAATCCGAGTGATAAACGGGGGAAATGCCGATTGAAACGGAAACGTCGTGGGGTGGAACGCAAAACACATGCAAGGAGCAACAATCTACGAAAGTTCCGGGGAATAATTGGGGAGGAAATGAGGGGTAAGTGGAGGGGGGGGGGGAAGTGTGGTGAAGATGCAGACACGAAGTTTAAACTTCGAAGTTTGGTGGTTTCATTGAAAGAGAGGTTTTTATGTGACGAGCAAAGATTATTCGATAGTTCATGAATGTATATGCTTATTTTGCAATATGAGTTTATTGATATTTTACAAAATAATACAAATCTCCTTTGCTTTCTTGATTTTTATTTATTTTTTCTGGTTGTGGAGCTACGAAGAAGCCGAAACCAGCAAAAGCTGTTTCGTCAAATTTTATTTTGAGGTTAGGTTTACCTCTGAATTTTCACTTTTTCAGAGATCTTAAGATTAAACAGAAGCGAAGTAAAACGTGGCAATATGAACTGGAATATTACAAGAATAAATCAGATTTAAAATAAAATCTAGTGGCGACATTGAGGCAGACGAGAACTTTGTTTCAGGGCTACTGAAGACTAATTATGCCACTACTAAAGTGACGGCTCACCTAAATAAATAATTATGGCATTACTAAAGTTATTTGTGATTTAGGAGAATTTGACATCAATGTCTCAGTTTTCACACTACAGGGTTGAGAACATTTTCGCAACTACGCACTAGCTGTTGACATATTTAATGGACATATTAAGTGGGTTTTGTCCGAAGTTTTATTGAGTGCTGCAAAGCTCATGAAAAGAATTAAGAAATTGAAATGAGGTAACACTTTTGAGCACTTTTCTTCAAAGAAATTGTTCTGGAATATTTGACATTATTGACAATAAACATTAACAATGGAAATAATTTTTGAATTTTATTCAAACGTGGACTAATTTTTTGCAATTAATTGAGTTAATACCGACTTTGAGACAAAAGAGTTACATTTTTAACATTTCTAATGGAATAGAGAATACTTTAATTAAAAAATCTAGAGCTATCGACATTTTAAACCCTCGTGACAATGTGAGCCCTTAGGCGTCCATCAAAGTGGCTCTATCAGCATTAGAGAGCATGCGGGTGTAAGAAGCAGATGGGGCAGTATCCACGGAGGGAGGGGGGTTAAGGGCAATGAGACATAAGTAGCCAATGATTCAGAGGCGACCCGCCGCGTCCGCCATTTCCAGATAAAACGCAAATCACACTTTCAATTTGGTCATGAACCAATGAGGGTTGCCCCGAGGCGGCTCCGATACAAATCAATTTCAACGGCTGATGAAATCCTAATTTGGCCCTTTAAATGGGGGTAAAGAGCGTGTGATTATAGGGCTTGTTAATGGCTTAATGCGCACAAGGGCGGAGGGTAACACCTCCGTGGGTCATGGATGAACCGCCTGGCTAGTTCCGTAGAGGTTATCTAGAATCTACAGCATGGCAACAGCTATCTACCACACGGACCTAGGTGCTATACAGCCTATAAAGTATACAACCTAGCCGCTAAAAATATGCTTGAACTACTATAGCGAAAATTGGGATTTTAATAGCTAAATAAACTTCCCATGTAAACATTTGAAGCCAAAAACCGTGGTGCAATCTGTTAAAATGGTCACCAACTAATGACAATATTCTGTGTTAAGTGATAAATCGATCAGCTATTTGCTATGATACTGCATTGGTTTTAATTATTATTCAACCCAATACAATAATAAAATCTGGTGAGATGGTCCTAAACTTAATCTATTTTCTTGGATTCAAACTTTCATATCACATGGGAAGTCTATTCTGTGTAAAGCCAATGACAAGTGGCACTGCCATAAGTAAAAGCTGATCTTAGTAAAGTTAGTAACAAAGCTACTCTTGTCGTCTCACTCCATTATTAAACCACCCTGATTGATTGAATGGAGGTTTTTCACTTAAAACTCTAAAGAGTCTAAAGAATGAGCTTGTAATTGGAAACAGAAGTAGAGCCCATCTGCATGAGCAAGCTGTACAGTGTTAGCAAAACGGGAGTGCCGATGGAGACCAGGTCAAGTCCCTTCAAACGCACGCACCCCCACAGGTCTCAATCGGCACTCTCGTTTTGCTAACACTAATATACGATTAGTTAATGAAAAAATGATGTATTGAAATTGAGTCTTGAGAATGCATACAAACAAACTAAGGCTAGTATTTGGTGGAGTCAAAATACTTACTTTTGAGGAGAGGCAGGTCACTAATAAAGCCCGTGTCGTCGACGTTGGTGTTCTGAAAGAAAAAAACAAACATTTTGGTAAATTTGCATTTCTATTTAACAGGAATTGCATTGATATAAGTGCAAGACCCCAAGTAATTGTAAATTTTAGCCTTGTAATTAGTGTGGTCTTATGGTATGGTCTTAACGGCCATTATGGAATGACATCATCATAGGAACCTTTATCCAAAGATACTGTAATGGCTATAATCCAGGCACGTGATCATGGGTATTTTCATTTGCTACAACCGAAGAACGTCACAGATATTCCCATCCAAATCTTCTATAATACGGATACAGTTTTCATTAGCTAAGCCCGTCAAGACCTTGTAAACGTCCTTACATGTCTCATAGGATTCCCTGAATCGCCATTGCTCAACAATTGAGATGGTGAAAGTTTAGTGGTTATTAATATAACGCTGGAGAAAATGTGTGCAAACATTTCAGCAGATATTGAAGTGTTCCTTCGTGAATCACCACTATTTTATCCATTGAAAAATACTTTTTTGACTCTAAACTAATTGTTGAGATTGGAGATATATTTTTTATTTTTGACGGTTAAAGGATCACTCCAATTTTCAACACAGTCTACAATCATTTTATTTTACGTACCGCAAGTTAAGGAAATGTATTTAATGGTCATGTATAATGGAAAATATTTATTATAGTAAGTTTAAAATAAAACTGTGAGAATATTTCATGTTTTTCTATCCAAGCATTAACTACAGTTCCCAAAATAGCCGTATTCAATAACGAATATCTTTATTGCGATCCATTTGAAATAAAGTTAAATTAATAAATGTATACATATAAAATAAACGAATACAAATATTTAAGTAACTAAGCATAAAAAATGTAGGACTCAAAGAGAGGCATAAACGTTCTGAGACTGTGCTTCCGAGCAACTTAATAGTGATGTATAAATTACCACAAAAACAAAATCCGAGGCCACAATCACCTCTGTAATCATCCTTATTTCTAACCTACAAAATCGTTTATTTTACGTTTTGTATTTCAATCTGAGATCGATTGTAATATTTAAATCTATGTATTTTGAAGGATAAAGATCGACAAACTATTAATCTCCTAGAACCCGGGACTACGACTCTTTTCATTATCAGTATCGATATATCGAATGGCCTAATCGACAGAACTGGTAATCTAATAAACGGGTAACACCATACACGGCAGGGACATTTTTATTACCTGTATCGATATATCGAATAATCATACAACCGACAATCATACTTAACATTCATAGCGTATCCATAACACCACATAAACAACACATTCGATTGATTGTATCGAATATCGATGTATTGAATGATCGACTGATCGACATCTTGGCACCCGGGAGTCGCCTAAAACAAAACCGTGGCCCGAGACTCTTCTGATTGCCAGTAGACCCAATTATTGGGTACAAAAGGGTTTTGTTCGTTCAAATTACCTAATCTAAGACCGGACCTTTCACCGCGTAGCCGCCTCAGCGCTTCTGTGTCGCAGAGAACGAGATACGTTTCAAGATGTATAAGATGTGAAATTATTGTGAAGGATGTGTTTTTGACCACCTTCTTTAGTTTTTTATGTCAGTTCAATAGTGAAGAAGTTTTGACATAGATTTGTTGTATTTTTCAAAGATGTCATTTATTTTTGTTGACAAAATTACACTACATAATGCTTGAACTATATAAAAGTATAATATCAACATTTCTCTTATATTTTCAGCGTCTGAATCGTCGTCAGATCAAATGCAACGGTTTGTTTGAACATCCCAATTCAGAGGTTGGGCAAATTGCATTGAAGTCAATGGGAATGATCGAAGCAAATTGCGCCAAAACTGTAATGTATCTATTTATTGACGAAAACGTGATTAAGGTTAGTCGAAAAAGTAAAAGTTAGTTTTAGTAAATGAACATAAAACTTTTTTACAATATGATTACGAAATTAGAGATTATTGAAATATGAACCCACCCTCCTTCAGCATTACTACTAAGTTAGCTGTATTCTTCAAATGCTAGTTTTGGGAAGGTTAGGTTGGATCAGATATCACAATGAAGCTAGAAATATATAAAAACCCTATCTCATAACCACCATCAGTGTTGAAATTCAGACACCAACCCACACATAATCAATAGGTAAATAGTCGATTAATTTATGTGCAATTATTAAACGGAACGTATTGCACTCTGACTGAATATCTGCTTACAGGAACACACAATTACGTAATGGCTTGTTAACAAACTGATGACAAATAACATTAGCATAGCTAACAGACCGTGGTGTCCGTGAGGGCACGCGAACCGGGCATAAACTAGGTGTCGAACCTCCGTGGGCAATTAAAGAAACAAACTGCCCGGAAAATGGTGGCTTAGCGCCGCACCGGGCAATTTCAAGTTGAAATGTGAGCAGGCAGCTGTATATACATGAGTCATTACAGTAGAGATTGAGCTATATACGGTTATACCGTGATTTAGGTTTATTGTTGTATCGTCGAAATTTTAAAATGTATAAATTTTGTTTGTTGTCTTGAGATTTAAGAGGCTTGTGATTGAAGTTGAATCTTAATTATTACAGTGAGAATATGTCTTAGATCTTATAGATATTGAAACGAAATAGTTTAAATAAATAAAGAATTTTTTATTTAGAAAAACGTAATTACTGTAGAGCGTTGATTGATAATAATAAATCCATTTACCGTAAAGCTCAGTAAATTATTGTGAAAACTAGTATAATCTTCATATTTTTTGTCAATTTGGTATATAAAATGTTAAGTAGAAAATCTATTGGTGGTTTAAATGGTTCCAAGCTATGTAGTATATACATTTTTATTGATTTGACTTGAATAAACAACTTTGATTACAAAGCATATGGACACGTGATTAGAGTCTTTAGGCAATTTTACATTTCCCTATAATTATATAAGATCTTTCGAAACAAATTGTGAAAGACATCTTAAAAAGGCTTTTTAGTGCTTAGACCTACCGACCGGTTCGTCGTCGCTGAAGCACCATTTACATAGGGTGTTCCAGACAAAACTTCTATCCTCTAATCCATCTTTACTTTTTGTGGGTTACCCCTGCGGCTGGATAAAATATTTAACTAAAAATGTAATGCATATGATTTTTTTCTAAAAACAACGACGTTTCGTATTTGCCGCTTGCACAGGTCGTACTCAGGGCTGCGGTATCACTTTGAAGAAGTGCGTCCACCGACACCGACCCACCGCAGCGGAAACCATCTCACTAATTGTGATTACTCTTCTATTCCGGGGATTTGAAAATCCCATCTGTGTGTAGCGTAAATTATTTTCATTCATGGGGACAGAGCTCAATGAACTACGTACGGAGGAAATGAGCGGTTGTTTCTATCTCTTGCGACAGATGATGGTTTGAGAATAAAATTGCTTGATTGCATGGATTATTTTTTCTGTTTCGCTGTGCGTTTTTCTACCGTCGCTGTTTAATCATATGATTTGTTGTAACACTGATTGAAACATGTAATTTGTTGAATTTTTACGTACAACTCAACTGAATCCTGATTTACTTCGTGTAATCTACAAGAATATGTATGACCAAGATGTTTTGGACAAAGAGAAATCTCCTAAATTATTTCATATACGGTTGGATTTGTTTTAAACGTCCAGACGAAAACAAAGGCAGTACTGATATCAAAGGATACTTATAAAACAATCACCTAAAATTTACAACATGCAAATTAGAAACAATACCGAATTTACTTCATGGCGAATATCTAACACCACTTACACCACTTTTCACCCATCTAAACTAGATGACCATAGCTTAATCCTACAAACGTAACTATACCCAGCTCAACGTCAACTCTCAATCCCCCATATGGTCCTTATATCCCCATATTCTCGAGCACAATACGAGTTTCTAACACACGCAGCTTCCAACCCAGAATGTTGTTTTTCTCCATTTGTTCCTCTGCGAAACTAAATTTTAACTGACAAAGGCTTAAATCCGAGGTGACAAAAGAGTTGCAGCATGACTCTTTATTGAGTTATTGTAATTACAGTGTTGACTCCAGGGGTCTTGTTTGGCGGGGGCCCCTCTTTGTCCCCGTGTTTGGGGCCCGCCCCCGAGCCTTCTGGGGGCTAATCAGGGGCCGATTCAATTTTTGACTCCGTCCCCGGTAAGCCCGTCACACCTCGGCATTATCCGTGTAATTTGATGCAAATACAACTACGCAACAAGGCTAATAATAGCAAGGTGTAAACGTTGGTTCAAAGTAGCTGTGGGAATGAAGAGAAACCCCACAGGTTCAGTAGAATTTTGTAAGGAATAATTTTACCTACAGGTTTCTAAGGTTGCGTCAAGATATTATTCGGTAAGCTTTTGTTACAGAGTAATAGAAAAGCCGTGCACCGCATTGTTTACTGTATTTAACTTAGAAACACAAACATAAACATATTTTTTGGAGGAATTTATCTTTTAGGAAGAAAAAATATAAAGGTAATTATCTTAGAGTTTGGTATTCTAAGGGGCTTTCTTAGTAAAAATACCCTGGACGCAAAAGGTTACAAGACAAATGCAAATCCAAACTTAAAATTTCATCATGCTAGATCGCTGTTGATCATAGTTGACTAAGGCTAAAATAAGAACGCAACTACAAGTGACACGTCTACCTACTCTTAGTTGAATTAAGTAAGAAAATAAGCTAAGCTCGGTACGTCAACAACACTTTATAAGCTTTGAACACAAAGATGTACATTTTGTTACCGTTAAAGAAATTCAATTCCAACGACATCTTCACATAATCACCTCAAACCACACCAAGATTAAATAAGTTATAAAAATCACCTAATCAAAAGGATACCACAGACTGGCAATTCCATATTGTCGGATTTGATAAAATAATCAAAGAAATGAAATACGTATAAAAACAGATGCGATTATGGCGAACCGAGGTGTGAATGGGAGTCGTTTGTTACGGAGTTCCCCAAGGCTGTCCCGTCGGGCCGCAACTCTTCACTGCACCGCTAATAGTGACCGCAACAGTGTGAATTGCACCGCAACCATCTGCTGGACAAATTAAAACTGTCCGAACCAACTCTGTGTCCATCGTGAGAAATATCTGACAAGATACGTGCGACTTGCCACAGCGATAGAGGACAGGGGAACAAGTCAATTGAATCTAGAACTTCATACGATTTAAAAATTAAGTCCTTATAACCACTGTTTGTTGCAGGCCGAAGTTTTACTTCTGGTATAATTCATTAAATTGCTCTTAAATTTTAAAATTTAGATTTTTAGTTCTCAAAATTTTCGAACCCTTTGTGTGACATAAACAAACCCTGGTCTTAATGACAATTGGGGTAACTTTCAAATTGGATTGAGCTGAGCTGTCACTACAATTTGGTGAAATCTGTTAATATTTAAGTAAGATGGTCTTAGGAGTAAGTTCAATGACAAAATCTTTTCGGAAGTCTAATCATTTAAGAAGAAATCACTGTGATATATTTTTAACTGGATAAATAATTATAATCGCTACCATATATAGGAGCAATAAAGTTATATTGCCTATGCTCAAACTAGCAGTCACTAATTTTATGAAAAACATAAATAGGTGAAATAATAAAATAAAAACCAGAGTACCCTAAAATTTATATTTTACTAAGTTTTTAGAAAAAAATAATTTCTGCCACGTATTTGGTACATTACTTTTTAATGTTTAATTTACTAAGGCTGAGAAAAAACAAAAAACATTACTAAGGGTAAACCAAACAAATCCTTGTTCAATCTGATTGGAATTAATTACGAGCACCACAGAGAATCCTGTTAATTTGTTTCAATTAACAAAACATAATTTTTAAATTGAAAAATCCAAATTCCTTCCACTTAATCATAAACTAAATTGGCAACCAACCCTAATCAACTTCCCAACCAAAGCGTAAGAGTTTACGAACATATCAAGCATCAACGTTTGCGATCGTATTTCAAAGATTTGTGATCGTCTGAGAAGCGTTCACATTAGGGCTATTTATGGGCTATCTGAGGGTTTAATATCAGAAGGGAGGTATTGAGCCCTTCAGCGAGCCCTGAGGTCCTTCCTGCAGCTAATGTACTGCCTTCATAACCTTCAGCCTTCATTGTGTCACAAACGTGGACGAAATATGGTTTATGGTGTGCGTGTTGCAAACTACGTTGAACGTACGTTGATTGGAGGCAACCAATGCGATACTAATCTTAGTTTTAGTTGAATTAATTCTTCCTAGGAATTTTTGTTTCTTTTAGCTACAGAATGGGCAAGTTCATAGTCTTCAAATTATCAGTTCATTTCTCACATGGTTTGAGTGGCTTAAGTATTTTGTTAGTCCTCTAGAAAAAGGTGAAATTGTATCCTTTGATAACTGTAATTATTTTAGCACTGGGTGGTAATTAACTGCAACGCCTTTAAGTACTAATGTTTAACATCACTGTCCTACAATTTTACAACAAAAAGTTACACTTTGTAAGCACTCAGCAACTACCGTAGATACATAAATTAGCAAACAGTAACATGGACTACCACATTAATGATGCATTGTTTTGAAATGACTTTATACTTCGATTGTTTACATACATTATACGAAACTAAAAAAAAAAAATATAGCTCGAGGTACAATGGCATGTTTGGGGAATCACAGGCGAATCACAATCACTTAAATCAAGAAAGACTCAACATTTCTTTTAGCCCCAACAAAATGTATATATTATTAAATACAAATTGGCATCACGCATTCAGTTATTGTTTAAATCAAACTAGAGTTGAATACGGAAAATACATAATTTACCACCTAATGATATTTTTTATCGATTTGAACAATTAAAACATGATGACATTAAGAATAATGTCGACTAAACAATCGATTTGGCAGAGTAATACTTAAAAATTTGTAAATGAAAACGGCCACCTCGTCTCCAACACTACCACTGACGGTGTCGCAAGCGGTGACAGATTTTTTAATCAGTTTTCTCGGACGATCAAAGACAAAGTGTTCGGATATTAAAAAGTGTCAATAAAATTTCACGATCGCAACGGCAAGCGTACAAACATCGGAACTTATTTAATAAAATAGCCGCAGACGAAACAAAACAGAACAAACTGACCTCAAACACGGGCGAGTTTAATTTGTACGTTTTTGAGCCGACTGTCAAAAGGGCAGTTCGGGGGAGGGCTGCGGCTACTTTGTTAGACTCTCCGTCTTTCATTGCTCGACTATTGTTTATTATTTTTTTAATATCGCCGATCTGCCCTTTGGTGACGACTGACGACCCTTTGGCAGATGTTTTTTCTACAGACCGATTTGAGCGAAATTACAGCCCTTCCGGTTTGGAGAAAATTTACAAGGGCAATTTTGACGATTGCTGATGCTGGCTGGAAGGTTGTTATGATTGTGGGGATATGTATTGCAGAAGGCAACTAGCGGGGATTTATTCTAAAAGAATTATTGTTTTTCGTATCTATATGTAGCACGGTTTTTGTTTGATAACTCCTTTTGAATATTTATATACCTCAGGTCATATCAAAAAACTTTACTACCACAAGTCTCATATAGTGAAAGTTATATGAACGTGGTGGTCATGTTATTGTATTTTTAATTGCTTTATGAAACTACGTTTATGAACAAAATACATGTTTAAGAAAGCTTATCATTTGAAAATTGAATCGTAGGGGTACATCATTTCCATATATGCATCAGCGTCTCATATAATTCGTACTAGGTAGCCTTATAAGTTAGCCTAGCCTTAAAGAAAGATGTTTGTCAAACTAAGAGTTTCAATTGAGTTATGTTCCTGAAACCAAAGGGGAATATGTAACTATTTTATACAACAGAATTCAAGATCAATTTTTTTCGCTTCAGTGTCCTTTCCGTTGCGAAGCACGGGTACAACAGCTAGTATAGAATAAATGGAATCCAACTGATTAGACTGAATAGTGGTTGACTTGATTTTTTAATTCAAAAAGCGGTTGGCAACATTGCAACCACGCGTCCATCCGGGTCTCAAAGTAAAGTGCGGAAAAGGTATCAAACGAAGCAAGGGGTTTTAAGACAAGGGTGATCTGTACTGGTAAATGTTAAACTACGGAACCTGAACGGGAACCCAAAGATATCACTTTTGGATTCACTTCAAGCTGGAGATCCGAAAAGGTTGATACGTTCTGTGGAATCGGCCTTTAAGAACCTTCATACATTTACTACTGTACCTTTTTATGGACAAAATCAAAGTTTTCTAATCTAGTTGACATATAAGAATATTACCTGGCCATCGTCGACGGCTGCGGACAGCGCGTTGTGAAGGACTAGAGGATCGTCTATCCCAGGATGGGATTGGCCCAGGACATCCGACCTGCGGACGCCGTACTCGGTCCGTCTCTGCCCGTCGTACGGAAACGAGGCGTGCATATTCGTCTGTAGCATACAACATACAATGGTAAAACATCTGTTAACCATACACAATAATCTATTATATTATTAAAACGTTACAATCAAATTTTATGTAAACGGTTTAGGTCATTTACCAAATAAAAATATAGGCATATGGCACATCAAAATGAAGCTTAGAGTGTGTAGATATGCCGAAAAGTATTGATATGGACGAATTTCCTAAGGGCTCTGCCCCACAGGCTGATTTTCAAAGGGCTACGCCTGGCATGCTTCCAATGTTTAAATGATTTAATTTAATTTAGATAATGAAACAGCTGGTCAGTACAATGAACTGGTGTTTGTTTATTTACTCGAATAAGATGTTTGTTTTGCTTTATGTAGACTAGTTAACCGCCCGTGCTCCGCCACGGGAATATTGTCAGCAATAAAAGAAATAATAATTAACAAATACTGTTTCTCTTTGTATTTTATTTAGGGGTTGTTAAATTTTTTAGGCCTACATGAAATAGAACTGATAGTTTGCATGTATAAACTATTTTATGTTAATCAATATCAAACCGATATATCATTTTAACCAAATGAATGTTTTATATTAATTCGAGTTTCATTTGAAAAATAAATAGTATACGAACTGGGCAATGCTGATAATCTAATAAGCAGCCATTTATGCTATTTAGATAATTTTCTCAAGTATATTCCTATAATCGTCGTTTTTTTTTCATTAAATTTGTTGTATGGAATAAAGATAGTCACTTAGCCTACATGTAAATCACGCATCAGCAGTTGGTCGCATTTCACGAATCTTTGACCCATACTGTGAGTAAAAGCTGTGTTTACGTCGTATATATAAAGTTGTGAATACTTTGATCAATGTTAGAGGGTATTAACGGTCCAATTTGATGGAAAAGGAGTCGTGGATTTTAAAACTATGTAGATTACCACTACCAGAAAGATGTTGATTCAAGTGAGACTTAGAACTGGCCATTACAAATGCAGATTTGTATTATATTTTACTCAAATAGTTTTTTGTCTCTTTTGACCCTTAATACTTTTTTTATAGTCGCTGTTGATAAGATTTTCCATAAACTCAAAATGTTGATAAGGAGTTCATTTTACCCTCCCCCTTGTGACAACATAAGGAAAAAATATTTGTGTCCCAGTTAGTCTGTTCTGACTCAAAATTCATAGCTTTGCAGTACTGACAAATCCAATCCAACGACCCCAATTCAAAAAATTGGTATTTTTTAGAAGGGACTTCCAGAGCACATTTAACACCATCACTGCTCTTTACCTTTTTAGTTCGTTGGTTCTCGGGGTGGCGGAATTGTACCCCCTGCTGGTTTGTGACGTCACGATGACGTCTCATTTTCTCGACCAAAACGGCGTGTACGGGCTGGAATTGTACCCCCCTCATAAAACTTTGATATTGTTATGCACGAGTGGTTTGATTAAATCCACTGGCATCTAAAAAACTGTACGGACCGGAATTGTACCCCCTGGAATTGTACCCCCTCAGTTAGAACTCACTTTTAATTGACCAGTGTACGGGGTGGAATTGTACCCCCTGGAATTGTACCCCCCGTCAGTCTAGCCCTTCTTATAGGACCGGAATTGTACCCCCCTGGAATTGTACCCCCTGGTCACCGCAGAAGAAGATGTACGGCCCGGAATTGTACCCCTCCCCCCATTTAACCGAGGAGCTTGTCTATTATGATTACCAACAAAAATCAAAACAATAGTTATGTTGGATATTAGAGGGGAATCACACGAATGTGAACTGAAGCACTGTTATTTGACACCTAATGAATTGCTTGTTGTAAAAGGATATTCTAAGAAACTGCAAATTAAGGCCATTCATAACAGACTTCTTTGTACGTTATTCATTAATATTTTCTTAACCTTCCCAAGTACTAACTGTTCATGGGTTAGCTTAAATTCACAAAGGTTAAAACTTTGACAAACTGTGAACTACTTTGTACCAGATACCTACATTCGGGACCACGTAAGTTTGCAGTTGAGGGAGGAGCCTATTTACCATATGGTTTTAAATGGACCAATGAGAACCGTGCGGAGTTGCCAAATCTAATGTTGTAAATAACTGCTTTAAGGTAATCATTGAATATTACAATAATTAAGGTTTATTATAAAATCATTGTGTAATGAGTATGCAGTGCGGGAATTCAGTGCATTTTTGAGACCAAATCGGTTCTGAGATGACCGGAAACCCTGTCACTCACTTACTTGTGAGCGATTTGTTGGTTTACGAAGAATCTTTACCGAAGGTCATGGCTCTTACAATAATCCCTATATCTTCCGGCCTGCATTGTTGTTTGATTAATAGCATAGACAAAATGTTGTCTATGTTAATAGCCTCTTAGAAAAAGCGTTGACCTATGATGTGTACTGTGATTGTGGCTTCGTCTTGTGTATTTTCAAAAATTGAAGGAGATTAAAAGTTAAATTTTATGATCAGGGTTTATGTTATTAGATAATAGTGTATAAAAAGTATTACAGTAAAAACAAACTAAGCAATAATGCATTCAAGTTGTTTAAAGAAAATTAATAAAATATGCATATAGCCCGAGGCGAAGTAAAGTTGCGAAGCCAGATTTTTGGATAATCTCTTCACAATTATAGTTCCTTGGTACAATCACTATATTCTGTGCAGATTTGAAAATCCTACATATGTCACTGTAGAAGGCATTCTCTACTACTTCATTTTCATAATACCAATTAAGATTATCGAGTGGGTGGGGGGTACAATTCCAGCCCGTACACAAGCCAAGCTAGCTGTCCAAGAGGGGGGTACAATTCCGGGGGGTACAATTCCGGGGGGTACAATTCCACCCCGTACGTAAATATTTTTATGTTGGCAGGGGGTACAATTCCGGGGGGTACAATTCTAGGGGGGTTCAATTCCGGGCCGTACATCTCCTGCTCTTTTTAAAATGTAATATAATTATCCGGTTCACTGATCACTTTCCCACATTAAATAGATTAGATTTCGTTAAAATCAAAGTGTACGGGGTGGAATTGTACCCCCTCTAGGCGTGACGTCAAAATGACGTCAACGATCGCCGGGGGGTACAATTCCAGGGGGGTACAATTCCGGCGACCCTGGTTCTCTACATGTTTTTTTCGTTCTGTATGTCTCTTTACGCCCGGTTAATGATTACCTTTTCTTTTTCTTTTTGTACTTTTCACATCCTGGGGTGAATGATAAAGTTTTATAGCGCTATAATGACCCGAGTCAACATTGCCATTAAACATCAAGTCAGATACTTCTTCGCCAGAACCGAAATCGTAAGTCACAGTTTCTCAAGCAACTTCCCTGTGTAGGCCTACTCGAAAAAATATAGTTAGGGTATAGTTCACTGATAAATTGTAGTTCCAAATATCAAAGCGTACTCGCCATCTCGAGAAGGTAAAATTTGGACGTCGAACACTGATCTTGAGTAAGATTAATCACTTACGATTTAAAATGTTTGTATGTTTACCAATCATTAGCAATTATCTGTACAACTTGCAAGCGGATTTCCCTATGATTGTTCTGGTGGCTATAGAGAATAAATTATATTGATCAAAACAATGAGTTTCCGTCCCCTACTATGGGTATTATTTCACATTTCATACTCAAACTTAAGCTCAATTACCACTTTCCTTCAGATCACTTTGCAGGAAAACTAAAACATTTCAAAAATAAGTTAACAAATACACTTTCCTTGATGAAAATCGTGTGTTTATAAATAGAAACTCCAAGTTTAATAATTGCATACTGAAAGTGAGGTTATAAAAATAATAACAAATGTCTGACAAACATTAAACAGCTGACGAATAATTTATAAACTGTGTATTATATTCTTCGATAAGAATTGTATTGACTCGACCTTTAAAGGGCTGTAGGTCGTAGCCCTTAGAAAAAACGTAAATTCTAAGGAAGTTCGGCAAATCTACACACTATCCCCTTTAATTTGAGACATAAATCTTGTAGATCGGTCCAGTAAACTGAGAAAACAGTGTTACAACTGTGTATTAAATATATAGATTGAGGAGGGTTATGTTTGGTTTTAAAGTGAGGTTGTACATGTTTTGTAAAGTATTGCTCAAAGTTTCATTTTCTTAATTTATATAGTAAACTACAAGTGAAGAGGCTTGACTAAAATTGAAGAAAATGTTAAAACATGTCATTCATGAAGCAACAATATGAAGCAATAATTGATGCTATTACTACACTAAGGTATGTTGTCATATTCTTAGGGATCTATTAATATCAAAAGTAGGGGTTTGAAAGTAAGTAGGTTTACGCTTTTAAATCAGTTTTATTTTCAAACTAAATCATATAGAGTTGCTGTATTTTAAAACACACGTCAGCACCACTTAGCTCTCTAGGTAGCATAGCTCTCTAGGTCACATTTTCTTCCCGTTGCAAAGCACGGGTATAGCAGCTTGTGTATGTATAATTTGCGTAAAGTTGAATTTCTAAAAGATCCTTTTTTCCTGGACCCCCGGTCTCCTACCTCTTCATAGCAATCACTAATTGACACATTTGGAACTACAGATTCATACATCAATCTCTTAAGGTTCTCTGGTGATTAAATTTAGGATAGATTAAACCTCCATTTTATGTTTTATCCTCGTGAACATTGTGAAATGAATGTATAATGTGTGTAAACTGATACAATGGTTCTAATTCAACACGTCACGTGTCCTATTTCGAATTCCCCATACAAACCACTAAATGACTGATATTTGTAGTTTCAGAAAATTATACAATTTCATGGGTAAAATGTTAAGGGTAGTTTTTAGCAAGAAAACACTTTCTCAGCCATACAATTACCGACAGTGTGTTGATAACAAATTCTACGCCCTTCCTTGAAAATCTACAACACACGAAACTACAGTTTTAAAACACTAGTAAGGCTATTATGCATCAAAATTTATAAAATCCTAACAAAAAATCAATCTTCACAACTTATACACAGATGCAAACATCTCCGATGCAAAATTATGTACAAAATATGCCAATAACGTAAAATTAAAAGAAGGAAATTTAATTACTCGAATACATCGGCCGCATAAGGGACCGTTATTATCAGCGGGGCTAGGGGGGAGGGAACGGTCAGTAAAGGGGCAGTGACTTACAAGACGATGAGCTTTTTGAAAATCCTTGCCGATGCGTCTTTAATAGCAAAAGTTGCCTTCATTTAGACTATGTGAGAATTCTCGCTGTTATGTCAGGAATGTTTTCTGCCGAATATTTTGCCTCCCCCTTGTGCGCGAGCAATATTTTGCATTGTTTCTTTGCTACCCCTCCCCCTCCAAAGCCTGGGGGCTGTGACTGTGACGTAGCACTGCCGAAAATGCGTCAACTACCACGGTTCTCTGGGTTATTGGGACAGTGATTCTTGGCTGTGAATCGCCAAATATTATAATAATTCTTAAAAAGATTAACTTTATTTGATTTATTTTTTTTATATTTATATCACTATTTAATTTACGTGATTTACTCCATTGGGGTTTTGTTATATCGTTAAGGAATCCGTCCAAAGATCATGTTCTTTTGCTAACTAACGTCGTTAATTAATGACAGTAACCAACGACAGTAGGCTATGAAATAATATTTAGAAAAACTATGATTTTCTTAAAACGAATTATCCTACAATTATGTAAGCCCGTAGTAGTTGTAATACCGTAGTTTGTTATGAGATTTTATCTGCTACAACAACACTTATTGAATATTAGCATTATATTGGTTGATTTTATTATTATTTGGATGGAATGTTTGGGCGTGTTGCTATTGTGACGTTTGCGTTTTTGCTTCGTTGCGAAGGAACGAGTTCCATTGCCAACATATCCACATAAATCTGAGGGGAAATAGGAAAGCTAATACCTTTATGATTCTTTTCAAGCAATTCTTAGTCTTAATTATAATTAAGATATTATTATAGATTATAAAGAGAGATTATTTAGAATATTTAAAATTTAAACGTTGTTGAAAAAGGGGTGAAATAAGAAGCAATATTTTAATAATAAGTAACCAATCGTGTTAGTACAATCGTTGAAGTTAGATTTTTGTCACAGTTATTGAATAAACTATCATTACAAAAACCCGCGGTTAGACAACCGTCTTCAATACAACAATATGTTTTATTTTCCTGTGTTTGCTATACTTTTTACTGTTTAAAGAAGTTATGCCACCATGGCCATATTCAAGATTCTAATATTCTAAGTTTATTCTTATTCCGATAGGATAAACAAAAACTAAAATTAAAACTAAACGGTTGGACATATATCAAAATCCTCAAAAAGTAGACAATTTATAAATGGTAAGTTTAGTTGTCATAAAAAACAAAGACCCAAAAATATCTTGCAAAGTTCGCAGGGGTTTAAGAGTATTTTAAAGTACTTGGAACAATTTTCCTCAACATTAAATAAAAGAGTAAGCCCAATTATAACAAATCATATCAACAGAATACATCTACATAAATTTATAGTTTAGTCCGATATAGTATAAATATAAAATGTGTTTAGAATGTGTTGCGTGTATTTTGTAAAGCTCGTTCATTTTAATTGCGCCAACAAAATTCTGCTAATTCAGTGAATCGTACAACATATATCTAACTTGGCAAACTTTGACGATTTACGTAAGATATAAAGCCAAATAATTAAAAATTTCTACATTTTACCTCTATTAAAATAATGTTCAATGCTGTTAAATATGGAAGACACACATTGATATGTCAGCAATTCAGACTCTCTTGAATGTACAGTATTAATTAATTTACTACATCCACTCCTGCAGGCGATGACACAACGTGTATATAAATTACCAAACATCAAACGAATTCAAGACAACGTTGTTAAAACCGTGTGATAGAAATACTCAGAAAGAATGCGCAAACAGTTCACTGTGTTGTGTGTGTTTAATTTATGAAGTGGTTTAAAGAAGGGATATTTATTACAAAATACAAGTCCTCAAATGTTGTTCGTGTAAAAATAGTTATAAGAGTAAAATTTTGGAAAAAGATAGTTGTACTTTAGTGTTACGACTTTTCTTTATTTTAACTCTAATTAGTTGGATATTCATCTATATATAAAATCCAATGTATGTATGTTTGTTGTTTGTTTGTATGTTTGTTTGTCCTTTATGGACTCCGAAACCGCTCGACAGATTGTAATGAAACCTTCAGGCAACAACATAACAAGCATGTAACAAGCATTATTGAAGGATGGTTTGGCAGATCCGTCAAAAGGGCTCCGCCCAAAATTGGATCCTGATCCTAATAAGTTAAAACAATAAATCTGTTGGTCAGGATTAGTTTTACTGTTTTAAATGTTCAAAATCTTAAATGGTGAAAACCCAACTACTGTATATCAAGAACGACACAACATTAAGTTGTTTCTGCAAAAAATACAAGCATGTCAAGTGTAAAGAAAGCAATCATCTACAAACATCTACTAAAGTGGTTAGAATTGGAATAGGGTCAAGCAATTTAAATTTCATATAAGATTTAAGGTTCTTCTATAAATGTTTAGGAATAATTCATATTCTCTGCATCATTAAAGACGTAGGCACTGTAACCTTCCACAATGCACATCTAAACGAAATTGAACACGTTAGCAATCGACAGGTAAAGTTTAGGCCTAATATAAAGTAGTGTCTACTACAAACTCCAGGACTTAAGAATTTCTATAGGTGAAGACAAATATGTATGTATCTTTGGCTGTCACATCCAGGATTCTAAGTTGGACATTACAGACACAAGTACCAGAACTAAAATAATACTCAAATCAAATCTGAGTATCTTCCAAGTCCACTCACCACATGCAGGTCAGAGTCCGACCTCCTAAGGACGTCGTGGCGGCCGGCGGCGGCAGTCAGCTGATTGTAGTGATGGGCAGCCGCCTGGGCCGTCTGATGAAGGGTGTTCAGGGTCTGACTGTAAGGGTCGGCAAGGTAGTCCATGGCGGCGGGCGACCCGGTGGCGGAGGGTTGATGTTGGTGGTGATGGGATGGCGGGAACGGCGGCGGGAAGTAAGGAGGTTGGAAGTCCGTGTGTTGGTGAGGGCCGGACATGGAGTTGGAGGGTGTGGAGTTGGTGGGAGTGTTGCGGTGGTGGTGGTGATGATGGTGCGAAGGGCTGAAGGGCGAAGACCCTCCACCTCCACCAGACCCGATGGACGCGATGGTCCCATGGCCCGTCAGCCGATCCTGCAACAGAAGAAGGGGTTGTAGTAGTTGAAGGAAACATGTACCTTTATAAGGCATGTCAATGGTTTGATTGTTTGAGGTTTTACCTAAGCAATCTTGACATCTAGAAGCATCAGTCCAAAATGAGATAAAGGTAAGGGTATGGGAAACACATAATCAGTAGTAGGTGGTTCTGAAACATTTTTACGCGGCGTTTCAGGGTGCATCCATCATTATCCAAGGATATAAGAACGCTGATTTCAAAATGTATCTAACGATTGCTTTTTTGAATTGTAGCTTACCTTGAAGATAGGCTACTGTAACACAACCCAAAAGTCGGTAACTGTTTCTGTCATCGCTACGACACCATCATCAATGAATTTTCCAATACCTTTTGAACAGTAGAGAGTTTGATTTTTATACAGTATTTAGACTTCTGAAACCCCCTGAATATAGACCTCGAGTTGGCTAAGGCATTCAGAGAAACACACGTCGACGAATAAAGCCTTCGGCATCAATGTTCCCCTTGCTCTTACCAGAAAACACCTTGTCTCACAAGTTAAACCCACGGATGGCTACCCGAAAAAGGTAGAAAGCAAATACTTTTAGCGTCATTATTGCAACATATAGATTTCATTATTAGGACGTGACATATGCCAAAAGATGCATTTGCACTATCAATTGTTCTTCTGGAAAAGCAACTGTTGACCTTAAACGGGTTTATAGGTTTTCAGATGCAATAATATAATCCAAAAAATTAGCCCCTTGATTTTTTGTGTTGTAAGGGAATTTAGGATTTCCTAAAACGACTTCCTTAAATGGAAAAAATACTTTCTGTGGATGCAACGTGCCTAAGAGATTGTCGTAACCTCGACTTTCACGTGAACGATTTTAATTAATCTTCCTACGCAAGACAACTTACTCAAACAATAACAAATATTTCTGCTAAGTTAATTGAAACACCTGATTAAAGACTCAGCCCAATCAATCATACAATCTTACAAAACAGTTGTAATCTATTCAGCTAAATGAATGCGCTGCAAGTTGTCAAACGTCCAAGTTAGGAAAAACATAACGTAAACCCCACCCCATTATATAAATATTGTTAAAAATCTAATGGGGATTTTATGCGATTCAAAACGTGCAATTTTGTTATCAAAAGAATCAACATTGTGGAGAGCAAGTCGAAGATGTTTACTGGGAAGATGCAGGTGAAACAACACCGGCCCGAGAACCGACCCTTGAGGTATCCCGTATTGATGTGCCACTGTACAGCCAACCAGATCAATTACCTTAAGCGTTTCGAAACCAATCAGGGCTATTAACGTGGGCTGTGGTTGTTGCATCTTACTCCGTAAATATCATCAGGGTTTTAACTAAAAGTAGGACAGTAATCATCGAACGAACCTTTGTTTAAAAGCCCAACTTGACCCTTGACCAACAGTGATTTTAGCGACCATTGCGAGGTTCGGCATGAACTGAAAGTGGTAGAATTTAATTTAGCTAAGCAAATTTTGTAAGGTAACGTAATGGATGATTTTCATCCAGATGAATGGAAATGCAATGATATGTGTTATACCATAACGGTGTGTACAATTTTACCAATAGGTGCGAGTGCGTGTTCTCAATTAAATTCAAACCAATAAATTAGCTCTAGTGTAAAAAATAGAATACAATACTTAAAACAAATATAGAACGCATACCTACTGAAAATTTAGTATCATTGTTTTATCACAGGGAATAATGAAAAGCCTTATACCAATTTTGAAACATTAAATATAGGTATTTATTTTCATGCTTACGTTTTTTAAACTAAAATCAATATGGTAGGACTTAACAAAATAGTTTATTTCGTTGAAAGTGATTTTAGTTAGTATTTTTACCAAGACACCACTACCTATAAAAATAAGGACAACTTGCAATATCTACTTTCACGGTCAGTGCCTGTTTTAAATTGCATTACAAGATATCAGTCAATATTGAGGTATGCTAATATGTGTTTTCTAACAATAAAACACACATTTAGCCCAACAAAAATACCGAAAACTAATAACCCAAAAAATAAGACGCTAAAGAAACTGAGGAATTTAAAGCGACGGCAAAATTGAAGGTTTCAGATTCCCGGCTGGGATCGATAAGTTACTTAAGGGCGGTTTTTACAAGACACTCGACGACCCAGTTATGATATGGGGAAATACGAGCACGGACATAGCAGAGGCCTTATTATAGTAGAAAAATTACGTTCATGAATATAATATGAGATATTCCAAACAGATCGCCCGGATTCCTACCTGATGAGAAGATTGGCTCCAGTGGCTGCAATTAACATAGATGATTACACAGCAGCACGAGGTCCGTCCTCTCCATTTGTCCTAGACTGATTTTATCATTCTCTTTTTCATGTTTTTTACACTATTGTCTAGGATTTGTAGTGGATAATGGCGTTAAGGGTTAAATAGTGTATTTTTTTTGTATTTGGCTCTGGACCTCAGAATAGGTATGTAATGGAATGGTGAAGACATTTATTTTTATGCATAGGGTATTTTCTTAGTGTTATATTCGCAAGTGACTATGAGGTGTATTCTCGTTCATATCGCTTTAAGCAAGCTAAGTCGAAAAAAGTCACATGATAGTTGACGGAAGTTTAACGGAAAGATGACATCCTCTACAAATCGATACTCTTACTTTTTGCTGAAAGAATAGGCTACAAAAATTAATAGAAAATTTATGTGTTGGAATTTGCTCTGATGTTTTGACAGGTTGAAGAATTTCCTCTCAATACCACTAGCCCAGAGTTTTAAAGTGCTCTCTTCCCACTGAATAGTGCGTAAGGGACGTATATGTTAAACAATACAATTAGCTACTTAAAGTAGGTTCTAAACACCAACTAAAAATATTATAATTGACTAAACTGTAATGTATCTTTGTTCCTGAAAACGGAGAACCGTACTATGTCTACTAAACGTCTTCCAAACGTTAGGAATTACTTTGGTGAAAAAGAAAAAAAAAACACTGCTTAGTTGAAACCCCTACTAATTCTTTAAAACATAGTACATGTACGTATTTGAATATATTTTTATATACAAACATCCATTATGGTTTTCTCAGAACTCAAAATCATCCAAACCCAAAATCAGAAGTTATTACCACAGTACTCGTACTTTGAAACAAATTGATCAGTGTAAAATCGATGTTATGCCATAAAATTACACTGGAAACAGAGGAACAGCGATTTAAGTGGGTTGAAATTATTACGAACCGAGATGAAAGAAATAAATACAGCTGTGAGGTGGCGATAGACAGACAGACAGAGAAACTATCCATTAGGTATAATAAGCCGCCTGGCTCGAGGCTAAAGTGAGGCCAATCTAGCCTCGCTCGGGGCCCGCACACGCCGTAACGTCTCCGCATGTAAAATTTGTTTAATATCTCTGAGAGGTTTTTGAATCTTTGTTGCGCGATAAAATGATACGGTAGTTGACATGAAATGCGCTTTAGTGATCATCAGTTGATTCACACAACAATCATGTAATAATTATCGTAATTTCGAAAGAATATTTCAGAAATTTGACTCCTAAAACGATTTGTGCTTTTTAGATTTAAAATTGGGGCTTTCGGGGGCTGCAATAGTTTTTTAAAATAAATATTTCATTTTTAGTACAATGATTATACATAGATTCATAATACTCTCTTAGCACTATTGTCCTACAATTCTGAGGTACAGTATAGTTATTGAAGATATATGTAGAGTGTATTTTAATATTTTACTATTAAAACATTTAAACCAAAGAAAAATCCAAAACATGGTCATACTCTCCAAATGGAGATCCTCGCACTTTCCGTATGTCCAAATAGTAAAGTGGTAGTATAATAGTGGTGGTAGTAAATACTGTTGCATTTACTCTAAGAAGAGAAAATTATTTCATCAGTGCAATTGAACGTAACCCGGTATAAACACTATACAGGCGTCAGATTTGACAATAGGACGAAGGTTGGGGTTTCCAAAGCTAATATTTTGACTTTAGGACTACTTTTGAATCATTCACTGTTTGAACTACGCATTAGATCGTCTTTTAATACTATCATTTTGCAGATGCTTTGCAAACAATCACATGCAATATCGGACACTGTAAAAATACAACTCTAAACTTCTACAATATTTTTAAGCAAATGAATGTTGTATAAAATTTTTACATTTTCAAATTTCAATTGTAAAACAGCTCCAAACAGCAAACAGCCCTCTCTCGGGGCGTAGCACGTCTCGGAAATGATTGAGGGGAGCGCCCCAACGTCCGGTTTAGATTTTGCAAGTTTGGGGCGTTAAATCGCCTAAACTGACGCGTCTGTACTAGTCAATCACCTGTAGTCAATGTCGTGTGGAAAATATGTTCTTTAAAGAATTGGTTACATAAAGTTATAGTAGCTATTGTATTAGGCTATTATGCGTGATAGTGTAAGACGTCTTCCGAATCCGACTCACACAATGTATAAATAACATTGCAAATAGATGTTGGTGCCTTTATTTGAATATGATCAAATAAGTCATCCAACACTACTTAATACAATTAAACTAATTCTGTAAAGATTTACAAGACGATGCAGTACACAATGAATGTATAAGATGATCCAATGATTATCGATGTATTGTATGTACGATCACTGGTCACCATCAGACCCAATCGACGAGAAAATCAAAGAGCCGTCACTGATTTATTTTCTTTATGATTTGGCTTTATTTTTCAAATTCAATAGAAATTTATATGCTGACCTATCGGTTTCATATTCCTTGTTAAAATACAGCAAGTACCGCGGTTTACATGTATAGCAGAAAAAACCCTTTTCAATTATTTTTTGACACACAATATTCACGCGCCAATAAATATAAAGTTATCAAGAAAAAGGCGTCTGTAAAAATGTATGTTGAACGTTCCATTTTAACAATTTTCCAGTCCACTTGCTATAATAATTCAGTGTAATCTGATTTACGTTATACAAACTTTTCATGTGTGAAATTGGTGCAC